CGTTCCAAGGGTGTGCATTTTGGAATACATATTAAATATGAAATATATTTGATATTTGATATGAAAATTTTTAGATATAATTTTTTGTAAATTTAGTATTTATCCAAATACTTAAAGAACTATACCTAATACGTAACCTAACATGTACCATATAATTTGTAGCTATATATTTATATACTTGTTGAATGATATTTTGTTTTAATTTTTTAAAATTAAAATTTAATAAAATATTGTTTACTTTTGATCTAAATTTAAATAAAACTAATAAAATTTTAATAAAATATTATTGATTACAATTTAAAATTAAATATAATCTAAAATAATAATAGAGAACTAAAATTTAGTTTGATATTCAGAATTCAAATTTACATAGTATTACAAAATTAAACTTAATTAAATAATTAATACTAAAGAGCAAAAAGTATGCACAAAAAATAAAGAATGAAAATAAATTAAATAACATAATAAAAGTCCTTCAAAGAAAGTGTTTAAGTTTTTGGGCTCATAATCTCCTTCATTCTCTGTCTCAGATTGTTAGAAAATGATAGTAAATAATGGTACTGTATCTATTTTGGCTTCTTGACATTCATGTTGTTGACTTATAATTTTTATTATATTAAATTTAGAGTTTGAAACTAAAAAATTATCTATACAATAAACTAAGTTTATGACTTGAAAATCACTAATAGAAGTAAAACAAAAAAAAAAGGTAAAAATAAAAAATAAAATTTTAAAGTTAGAAGTACTCACTATTGTCTAAGAGTGTAAAGAAAAAAAAAATTGTTGACTACATATGTGATATATGTTTGGATTAAGATTTGTTATTTACATAAGCTCTACATGTGTATTTTTTTTTTTTTTTGTATTTTTATTTTTAAAAATTATTTTGTTATGTAGGTATTAAGTATAATAAATAAATATATATAATTTTAATTATATAAGTAAGGTAACATACTAGTTAAAAAAAATGGTTAAATAAGCCAGGTAAATAATTCTAAACTTTTATACTTATTACTTAATATTTACAAGTATATTATTTTTATACTTATTATTTACTCAATTTTTTTATAATTTAAATAAATAAAATACTTATAAATAATGAGTATAACCATACAATACTCACCCCTAATCCATACCTTTATTCAAAAAATGAAATAAAACCCAACTTATGTATGACATAGTGATGTATATGCCTGCAAGACCACAAGGGACCTAACTTGAGCCATGAACAGCCCCGAGTACTAACTCAACCCAAATATCAGTTGGACACCAGCCTAAACAAAAGAACGACCCATGACATCTTGAACCGTAAATAATAAATATCGAAGACCCAACCTTGTGGGCTGAATGTTAAAATGGACCTAATTCATAGGAAAAGCCTATCCCTTGGCACCCTGGGTCTAGGGCACAAACAACTATTAAGATGTTACCAACACACCCAAGTAATTGTGGCAAAAATTAGAAAAAATACTCCCCCATTTCTCACCCATTCTCAAGCTTGTTACATTCCCACTCCCACCTTTAGGGGGTGCTTGGTATGGAAAGGAAACTTTTCCCCTTATCTAAGAAAGTATAGGGATATTTTATAATTTTTACACCTCAAATTATAATAAATAAAGTGTAAAATTGGTATTTTAAATATTTATTTTCTTTAACATAATTCTTAATAAGTAATCTTTTCTTCTCACAATTTTTTCTAGGAGAAAAACTTTCCTCCAAACTTTTTCAATGTGAAACTAAGTTGATAATTTTCTCTCAACTTTCTCAATATATATCAATTCTTATCAAATATAAAAAAGTTCAAAACCCAATAAAACTTCAAATTAATTTCATTACGAAATTTAGCAACTTTTTCTATAAAAAAATTAATAACTTTCCATACAATATTTTTTCAACTCTTTCTCAATCAAAACTAGTCTAATAAAGTTAACTTACCTAAAAAGGATCAAATTATAAAATGATCATCTTTATTATAAAAGAAAGAAAGAAGAGGATAAAAACATGTAATGATTGGTCCAATTGTAAAAAGAATGAATATCACAGCATTACAAGGTAGATTAATTGAGAAATTAATTTACCAATTGATTGATTTTAAGGATTTGATGTTGATTATAATCTCATTAATAAGAAATTTTCAATTAATTATTATTTTCTTATATCATGTATTATCTCACCCAATAAATATGATTCTTCATATATAAGAAAAAAATGAAAAAAATAAGTAAACATACAAAATCCACTCAAGTTTTTGTACCATGTATTAGGAAAGCCTTAATCCGTCATGATATCCAAACATTATCTCCAAATCACATAATATTGTGTTTGACTTTCTTTCACTTCTCTTTTATTTTATCTATTTTATTGCTATATTATCTTGAGATTTCTAGACAATAAAAATCTCCTTATTATATTAAAAATTTCTACTCTAGCAAACAGATCCTTGTTATAAAATTGGAGGAATGCTTTGTTCGTTTACAAAGAAATTATCAGGATCAACCGCGGCTTTTACCTTTATCAGTCCCCCCAAATTACCTTTGAAGTACTTGATCCCATAAATTCCAGCCTCTTTCAAGTCCCCGCTTTACTTGAATTGCTTCGTTTACCAATATCAAGATCTCTGTAATTGAGAAATGCCTCCCTTGGCTTACTCAAGACGTATGGAGTCATTACACCATTCAACTCTCTAATAGATTTGATGCCATCCTTGATAACATTATCGTGATACCACACCATACAATTCTGAAGTTTGAACAGATTTCCTGCTCTATGCGGGAATGGGGTTTCGGCTTCTAGTATCTCACTCATTCTTCCTCCATAAGGACTCCATTGCATGAATTTGATCCCCACCCTTATCATCAACTTCCAAATGTGTTCCAAACTCTCCCTAGGAATCAATTTTTTTAACATAATCAGATTTTGCCTTGTAAAAATCTCTAGGACCTTGTGTCAATGTTCTGTTGTAAAAAATTTCGTAACTTCTTCCCTCCGGATGTCCATCCGAGAACAGGGTTGAATTTAGCCAGCTCATTTCCTTGCAATCTTTTTTAGTTAAATTCAATTCATGGAAACTTTGATTTGTTACATGAAGAAGTGCATCTGTCTCTCCAAGGAAGAAGCCGAGGAACCTAGCTGTTATAGTTCCATTGACATTGTCTACTATTGCTCTAATGAAGAGATCCCCCGGTAGTTTAGGGGCAACTTCTTGCCATTGGTAAAGGATATCATTTGCGCCTTGTTTCAAGGTAATAGAAACATTGAACATTGTAACTTTGGGTGGGATTTGAACCAATTTAATTTTCCATGAAAGGATGATTCCAAAGCTAGCTCCACCTCCTCCTCTAATGGCCTTGTTAAGATATGAACACACTCATTGTAAATATTTTATACCTTAGAATGGTCATTGTACATACAGTATTATTCAAGAAGGCAATAAACATTTATTCAAATTATTCTTCTTCTTTTCAATTTCTAACAGGCCTAAGACAGATCCTCTCCTTCGGATGCTCTATTCAGGACTCTGCCATTGACGTCTACAATCTGTGCATCTATGATAATATCAACAAAGGGACCATGTTTCCTCATCATGACCCCATAGCCACCTCCGCTGAAATGACCTCCAGTGCCGACTGTAATGCAAACCCCACCAAGAAAAAGCATGGACTTGGCTTGTATTAGCAATTTTGTAGTAGAGTTCACCTAGTGTGGCACCAGTTTGCACCCATGCAGTCTCCTTGGCAATATCGATATGAATGGATTGAAGATTAAACATATCAAGGATGACGAAAGAGACCTTGGATACATAGGAAAAGGCCCACGTAGTCGTGACCTCCACTTCAGATTCTAATCTGCAGGCCATTTCTCTTTGTACAAATAACAGTTGCCTAGACATGGGATTTATGCAGGGCAGCTATAATGGCAAGAGGTTTAGGAGATTTCAGGGTAGTAAATCTGCAGTTTCTTGCATATGCTTTCAAGACAGATTCAAAAGACGAATACTCGGCAATGTAAATGGCAGCCGCAATTGGATGAGAAGGATTAGAGTTAGTGGGAAGGCATTGGAGAAAATTTTGAATGGCAGGATGTGAAGATGCACAAGAAAGGGAAGCCAAAAGGATTAAAATAATGGAGACAATTATTTTGGAGCTTGGGCCTTTCATTTTCAGCATCTTAATTGTAGGTTGATTTATCTCTTCATTTTTGCCTATTTATAGGGCAATTCTTAGCTTAACGGATTTAATTATGGAAAAAGTGCATATTAGCCTATGACTCTCAAAAAAAAATTAAAGTGACAATCATAAATGATATTATTTTATTTTATTAAAATTTAATTTAAAATTTAAAAATCCACCTTGTTCAATATTAATACTTATATCTAGAAACTAATTATATATTCTAATCTATATATTGTATAAAATGCTACCTCATGCATTAATTAAGATATGTATTTAACCATTTAAATAACCCATGGATTAATTAAGTTATGTATTTAACCATTTATGAATTATTTGAAAAAAAAGGGGGGGCATTAGCTAGGTGAATTTTATATTAATGCATAAATACGGAGGGTTTCATTTTACCTTATGTTTAAATTAATTTCTAAACTTAGTCATTATTTTTCTCCTTTTTGGCCTTAGATTTCACAATTTTTCTTCTTGCCTTTCCATCTTCCTACCCATCTATGTTATATTTTCAAATCTATGTATCAACATTTAATAAGACAGATTTTTAAATTTTAAATTAAAATTTTAATTTTTAAATATATGAATCAATATTTAATAAGGTGAATTTTTAAATTTTAAATTGAGCCTTAATTAAATGAAACATCATCGTTTAAGATTGGGACTCTTTTTTGTTTTTTTTTTTTGAAAGTCAAATTGATATGCACTAACCTCTTTAATTAATCAATGGGCCGGGTTTCTCTAAGTACAAATGGTGTAATAAAAATATTTTCTTGCCAACAATAAATACATCTTTTAGTCTTTAATTTATATTAAGAAATGCAAAAAATGACATTAATTTCAATTGTTGTTCTTGATTTTTAATGATTACCAAAATCATTTTTAAATTGAAATTTGAAATATCTGTTTTTAAATCATTATTGTCAATATTTTTATATTTAGAGGATTTTATATTTAGGTTTTAAAACTTATTTATAGAATTATTTGCACTTTCATTTCTCGGAATAACCCAAACCTGAATATGAAATCCTTAAAGCTTGAAAACATTGACAATAATGACTTAAGGACTCATATTCCGAAATTTCAATTTACACATGATTTTGGTAGTCATTAAAAATGATGAACAACATTCTGGCCCTTTTGATGATGATATACATGACCTATATTAATAATATATTAAATTTAATTATTGATTTTTAAAAATATTTATTGAAAAATGATATTTTTAAAGTTACAATTTCAAATATTTTTTATGGAAATCAAGATTAATATGCATTATTCTCTTCTTATTTATTGTATATCCTTTTTCTTAGAGTAGATAAGAAGAAGATTGTTTGCGTCTAGTTCTAGTCAATGCCAGATAAAGGCATCAAGGAAAAGAAAATATTGATCCTCAAGGAAGTGGCTCAATGATTAAGGGTTTGAGATTTCGAGTTATAGATCTTAAGCTCAAATCTCGAGCTGAGTAGAAAGGGATTTAAGGAAAGGGGAGAGTTATCCCATCTTATATAACTTATCATTATTAAATGTACCCAAAAAAAAAATGCAGGGGAAAAAAAGATGCTATTGGAACAAGGTACCCTATGAGCTTATTCCAAAGTGTGTTTTTGGCATAAACAAGGAAACATTGGGCATTGGATTTGTTTTCTAATCGATGGATCCTTTATTAAACATAGATGTTCAATTCACAGGATAAACTAGAAGCAATATAGATGTCAATGCATCATATTGCGACTAAAATATAAGTACAAATTCTTATCTTAAAAGGACGTCACAAAACAATCAATATTTATATTTCTTCTAATGTGGAAGCGTTGGGATGCTTTGCTCATACCTAAAGAAATTACCAGGGTCAACCTTCGTCTTAATTTGCACCAATCTGTTGAAATTACCCTTGAAATACTTGATCCCATAAACCCTTCCTTCCCAGTAGCTTGCCTTCCCATTGTGATTGATACCCAAATCAATATCTCTATAATTAAGAAACGCTTCTCTTGGATTTTTGGACACAAAACGAGTCATGTATCCATGAAGCTTCCTAGTCAAATTTAAGTACCGATCTGCAGCTTTGGCTCCAGCTTCGTTCCAGTTGGTTACATACTGAATCTTCCACAAATTTCCAGCTCTATGTGGGAATGGGGTTTCTGAAGCTGGAATCTCAGCCATTCTCCCACCATAAGGATTGAAGATAAGTTCCAGGGGTCCTAGCTCAATCATCCGCTTCCAGAGCCACTCCAGACCATCCTTTGAGATTGGTTCTTTAACATAATCCGATTTCCTCTTCAGGAAGGTCAGTGTTTGAGGCGTTCGATTGAGCAGAACTTCTGCGGAAGTGTTAACAGGAAAGTTGGTCCAGTAAAGGACTGATTGAATCCAGCTAGTTTCAATGCAATCGGACTGAGATAATCCCAATTCAGGGAAGCTCTCGTTCATGATGGAGAGGAGTCTCTTCGAGTCTCCAAGGAACAAAGAAATGAAAGAAGCCCTGATCGTCTTTCCGTTGGTGGAGCTACTACTATTCACCACATCCAGAATAAGTCTGACGAATAGTTCTTCAGGAAAATTCGGAGCTACATGTTGCCACTTATATACAATCTCCGTAGCATTTTCTTCCAGGGTTTTTGGGACATTGAAGACGGTAACCACTTCTGGAACACGAACGAGATTAATTTTATATGCGAAGATGACACCGAAGCTAGCTCCTCCTCCTCCTCTTATGGCCCAGAAAAGATCCTCACCCATGGATTTTCTATCGTGAAGTCTTCCGTTTACATCCACTAGCAGAGCATCGATAATGTTGTCGACAGAGAGACCGTATTTTCTCATCATGTTACCGTAGCCACCTCCACTGAAGTGACCTCCAACCCCAACAGTGGGGCAAACACCAGCTGGGAAGCCGTGTGTTCTGCTTTTCTCTGCAATTCTATAGTAAACTTCGCCAAGAATTGCACCGGTCTGAACCCAAGCACTCTCCGTTGCCAAATCAATATCAACCGTTCGAAGATTGAACATGTCAAGAACGAAGAACATTGGGACAATAGATACGTAGGAAAGGCCCTCGTAGTCATGGCCGCCACTTCGGATTTTCATTTGAAGGTCATGTTTATTTGCACAAACAATAGCGGCTTGTATGTGGGATTGGTGCAATGCAGTGACGATGAGGAATGGCTTCGGGGTGGTTGTGTCGTTGAATCGAAGATTCCGAATGTAGGATTGTAAAACAGACGAGAAGGAAGAGTTCTGGGGAGTGAAGATTGCCGAAGAAATGGGGTGAGATGGATGAGAATTGTCAAGGAGACATTGGAGAAAAGCTTCCTGAACGGCATCTTGTTGGGAAATAACCGTCAGTGAATTGGACAGGAGAAGAATTGAAAGCAAGGAAATGGCAGTATGCTTGAAGATACCCATCTTGTCTTGATTTTAGAACTAAAACTGATAAGGAATTTATAAGGAGATGTTGGATGAAACATATATCCACCTAAGGGTAATATTTAAAATTAAATTAATGGAGAGTACAAATTTAACCGGGAAGTTTAGTTTTTAAAGTAGAATGCAAGAACATGCTACATGCCTGTACCGACCCGTTGCATTCTTAATTCCATGGTTTCCAGTGTATATATAACTATGGTCAACTTGAATATTAGATGGGAAGTTTTGTAGTTTGCAGTAGTATGGACCATCTGGAATACCAGAAATAAAGAAGAGTTTAGTGCTGGTTCGGTGAACATTGACAGATGATTGATTTAGTATAGATTCAACTTTCAAGCATACCATTGGATAAGAAATAGAGGGAAATGCCTCAGTTCCAACTCTGTGATTGGCCATTAAACCCAAGGCATTGTTGCAGCAAGAGGAAAGTTCAAATACTGGGAAGTGTTGGCATGTGAAATTTTCATCATTTTGCTATATATATATTTAGTATGTATATGGGTTAAGCACTACTTCTACTCAATTAATAAATTCGCTCTTCAAAAAAAAAAAAAAAATGGTCAACTTGATTATTGGACAAATCAACCAGTCACCTTCATTTTTTATGCACATTTTGTGGTGAGGGAGGATAGGTAAGTTTTATATAAATCATTCTTCCGTTTTCAAAGTTAAGAGCTCCCTTGAATTCAGCTGCCAATTTTTCCCCCAATCACCCTTTAGCCATGTGCCATGAGATGACCTCCCTCGAATTTACATTCAAAAATCAGGTTGTTAAGAGCTCCATTAGCTTCTTAAAAATTGCAACCAGTTGTAAAATAAAGTAAGTTTGCTGCTGCATCAATATATATTTAATTTTAACCAACCCTCCTTAGGTTCTACTTTGAACAGATTTAAATTAATGCGCTGTACTAAAGGAAGCAAAGAATTCAGGCACTGAACAGGGGGCCATTCAAATAATGGAAATGGAACGATCTCACCTGTATCACTTAAAATTCCTTCTCCACGTTTGCACTTCTGTTTTTAAAGTTGCTGCCATTTCTTGCATTCCAAATAGTCCACACCTCTGTGAACCACACAACTCTACACAATGTCTCTAGCATCCAAATGAGTTGGATCAAATCCACTGTTTTCTCTGCAAAAGCCATGACTATAAATGTTGAGTAGGGATCCGTTAATTTACATATAAGTTTTACATGTTACATTTACGTAAAATTTCAATGATTCATTTTTTCATTTTTAATAGTTGAAATTTATTTATATTTATTAAAGATAATTAATTGTTTACCTAAAAAATTGTAATAGATCTTAACAATTAAAAATGAAGAAATTAATAGTTCAAATTTTATATAAATTTAGTGTGTAAACTTGTGTGTGAATGGATCTCTCTTCATATATGTCATATACCATCTTTTTTAAGAGAGAGTACTTCAAATTTTCAAGGGTAATTTTGAAAGGGAAAATTATTGTAAAACAACTTTTTTGTATTCTCTCCATTCAATTTTAGTAAACCTAGTTTTTTTAAAAAAAAATAAAATAAAAATGTAATAATTAATTGATAAAATCTCATATTTATCCCTAATTAATCACTACTTAAATAAAATTTTTTATTTAATTTATGTTGTACAATAATTATCTATTTAAAATAAAAGTAAAATAAGAATAAAGACATTAAATAATAGAGCATGTGAAAAATCAAGATGTTGTGGCATTAAAATTGACATGACATCTAATCACAACCATCATTTAAATGGGGCACAATTATTATTTAAGTGGAACCCCATCTAAATAATGGTTGTAATTGAATGTCCTAATAATTTTAATGTTATGATGTCCTAATTTTTATTTTTTTTGTTAAATAATATTTTTTTTAAAAAAGTAGACAAGTAAATTTGAAAACCTCAAATTAGAAATTAGGTCCACTAAAGTTACACTTCCTTATATGTCATTTATAATATATTTGGGTGAAAGAGAATGAAAAGAAAAAGAGAGGATGGGTAGGAAATGAAAAAATACCCCTCCCATCCCTCCCCGCTTCTCATTTGGATAACTTAAAAGAATTAAAAACAAAAAATAATGTAAAGGTCTCCCCCCCTCCCCTCCCCTCAAATGTACTTTTAATAATTTACTTTTTTTTACTCTACTAAACTTATAGTATTGTATATAACTATTCATTTAATAATATACAAAAATTATAAATAAAAATTATATAAAAAAATATATGTATATTGTTACTATTTTAAAAGATCGGTTGGAAGTCGAGACCCAAGTTCAATCTTGGTTCCAGTTTAAGCCCAAGCCCAACTGCCTTTCTAAAATTCTTTATTTATTTTTGTAATATAAATACAAAATATTATTTTTCAGTCTATCTTTCACTTAAAAAATCAATCTACAATAGCAGTAAAAAGCAAAAACATGGGTGATGTTATTATTATATTTTTAATTATTAATACTATATTTTTTTATTTTAATTGATTATTAATTTTATTTTTTAATTCATTTAATGAACAAAAATTTAGAGTTTTATGAAAAAATATAATATAAAAATATAATAATTAATTATAGTAAAAAAATATGATATTGATTATTTAAGGTGCTCCACCCAAAAACATCATACACCATCGATTCATTAAAATTACTTTTGTCTTTCTTAACCACTTATTCATACTTTTCAATATAGGACGGAGATTATTCTTCAATTCCACGAAGGTCAGTGCATAACCAACTCCAACAACTTCAATCCAGATTATCAATTTTCCAAAACCGAAAATCATTGATTCGATCTAAATCTATACCCTCTAATTTTAATTTATTAAGAAATAAAAAATGTACCATTTGTTTTTTAAAAAATATAATGTAAAATTATAATAACAATTATATTAAATAAATCGTAATATTAAGTGCATCCTTTTTATCCAAGACAACTATTCGAATATGATTTTTTGTAAATTTATTTTAAAAAAATAAATAAATAAATCATAATACTAACTATTTAAAATGTAATTATAACTACACTCTTAATAAGCAACGTAATTCACTTTTTGTGCATGCCGCTTTTGTATGAAAAATGAGATAAATGAATGAATGTGAAAAGGCTGAAAACACGAAAATCCAAACCTATATTTTTCATCACTGTCATCTTCATTTCAAAATCTTAGCTATTGACTTTTTGCATCTCGAATTAATCCATCATGAAGTAGATCTTCGTTTTGTTTCATTAAATGCTAAGCAACATCGGATTAATTAGTTTAGTCAAAATAATCAATTAAAATAAAAATATAAAGTATTAATAATTAAAGATATAACAATCTGCCGCCGAATTAGTTTCACGAGGTGTATGTTGAATAATAATGGAATCAAACTCAAATCTAAGCCTTCTGATATCAGACACAAGAATATCAGACACAAGAACCGCTGAAAGATTATCTTGCTCCTTCTGACCTTTTATAACCTGTACTGCAGACAAGGAGCCCATTTTAATTCAACAACTGTATGCTTAAGGCCCTTATTGTTAGAAAATATGAAAAAGTAGAAGAATAAAAGAATTATTTTGAGGTATCATCTCACTTTCTTTAAGGATTTAAAATCTTTTAAAATATAATAAAACACAAAACTCTCTCAGAATTAGATATAAAATTCTGACTTTACATAAAAATTTATAATGCCTAAAAAGTTACTATTGTAGGAATCTATCCCTCCAAAAAACACTATAAAAACTTTTGATTGTCAAAAATTATGTCTGATTTTTAGCCATGTCTTCTCAAGTTTTAATTCAATATTTAATTTAATAAAATAGAATAAAAAATCCAAAAATAAGACAAAATTAATGATATTTTAACCGTTAAATCCAAGTGCCTATCTTTTAACCATATATAAAGGGGTAAAACTCAATTTATTTTAAGTTTCATTTCACTTAATTATTTATTAATAAAAAAAATCTTTATAAACTTTTTTAAGTTTTTATACTTTTTTTACATGAGATTTTAAACATTTACGAACTATTCAAGACTTATTCTTGCATAAGATCTGTCCTTCTCTACAGCCTCATAATTCAGCTAAGAAAAAGGAAACTAAACCAATGTTTACCGAATAACACTGGGTAGAAACACCTGACTGGTCTTGCAAATCCAGTCTCTTGTATTCGGACACCTGTCTTTGATTCTCCTCCGCCTGGACTGCATGCTTTTTTAGAAAGGGACATGTTAGGTGTTGCTTTTTTGCGACATTGATTAGTTAATTTTTTCTTCATATGTAACAAAAAAGAAGATATAACAATAATATGATATCATCCACTCAATACCCTCAACAATACACAAAATACTATTTGCATGTTTGCTGCATTAAAGGCCATACTATTCCATTTATTACAGCCAACTACTCCGATCAGGTTTTAATGTCGAACATTAATACGTAAAAAGACGTACACCAAACACGTTTATTAAGGAGTTGCAATGCAGACAGCCACCAACCTCTGACAATCCGTACCAATTAATTAATAACTATTGCTCAGCTGATATTGTTGCGTGAGAACTGTCATCACAAGAACAAATCAAAAGGTTAAGTAATTTGCATTTCAATATTTATTT